TCGGACGCGGCGACCAACGCCACGGTGAGGGCGCTGGCCGGCGGCAGCTCGAGCTTCCCGGCTCTGTTCGGGGGTGCCATGGTGAGGAGGATGGGCGGCATCCAGGTGCTCACTGGGACGCAAGGCCAGATCCGGAAGTCGTGCCGAGTCGTCCTTTGGTTTGGGAGTTCCTTTTGTCATTTGAACTTTGGTTGGTTTCTTTGTTTGTTTGTTTGTTGGGATAAATAAATAATTAAAAGAGTTTCTTCTTAATATATTAATCCTTTCAAGGTTTTTTTTTTTAAATAACATACTTAACCTCATAAATTTTGACATAACTTTTAATATTTCGAAGAAGAAAAGAAAAAAAATAATATTCTTTTATCCAATAAGTGCATCGAATTGAATCAATTATTTATTTTTTTTATTACATCACTAATTTAGTCAAAATTATTAAGTCGTAAGATACTCTTATACACAATTAATCTGTCCGTAAAGAGTTAGCCTGAGACAACCTCATGTTGTCTCAAACTTACGAAAACGGAATGAAAGAATAAATCCCAATATCTCGTAAAATGAACTTTATGTGCATAGAGAAAATTAATTAGTACATGAAAATGATCTATAAAAGAAAAAGTTAATTAATTCATGAAAATAAATAAGAAATAAATCCCCAAAGTCTTATCTGTGCCACAAAAGAGTTTTAAGAGACTAATTGACATAACCTGCAACAATCAAACCATAACACATAAAAATTAGATCATTTTGAGATTGTTATGCATAGTGTGATGATCGATTATTATGTAGCTTCGTAAAGTATTTTTGCTTACAGGTTTCAAATAAAAATACTTACGGGTTTCAAGTAAAAACACAGATAAAACAAAACACACTATCAAACTCCTATACGAACAAACGATGAATGATCTATTAACGAAGGTGTTACAGATGCATGCTAATCATCCGTGATGGACTGTCATATTCAATCTGGATATAACTATGGATAACATGCACCTAAAACGGCTCAAACGTTTTCAAGTAATGTTTAAGCTTCCCAAAAACGAATCATGAAAGGGTACAGCACGAGTACCTGACAAGATAATAAAAAGATCCAATGACATTATTTTTTGTTCCTTTCCCTTTTCGTTTGCGGATTTGTGTAACACCATGTGATGATTCAACTGAGAGTGTCAGTTGAGCAGACCAGATCATTTCAATGTCTTGACCTTTTCATCTACAAATCACTTCAAAATGTAAAATTTTCTTCACAATTTTCTCAAGAATGAACAGAATGACAGTTCCATGCCTAGCTTGCAAAAATAATTCCCTTTGACAACTTGTGAAGCAAAGCAAAGACTAGCTCAATCCCTTTGGTGGACTTTGGAGAGAGAATACTCTTTCACTTGGATCAGAAACAGATGCCATATCTGAAGAAGTTCCTAAGGCATCGATTCTAGAATCACCATTGCTCTTGCTCTCTTCTGAGGTCTCTGGATGGGGGTTCTCCGCTAAAGGAGCACTTGTATTGTCTACATTAAGCTTTTTGTATATTGCTAGAGCCTGAGTTATCATAGAAGAAGGGTTTCCAACAGCGCTAGGAAGTAGGAGAGTCGTTCCCTGAACAAAGAGAGGAGAAAAATAAAAATAAATATAAGAAAAAAAAGATCTTGCACATATAAGACTGTTTAACAATTACACGATGATTTCTTACCTCCTTTGCTATGCAACCAAATGCTTTAATATATTGCTCAGCAATTCTGAGACTTGCTGCCTGAAGAAAAACAAAGGAACAAACTTCTAAAACTCAGACATGTATCCATTCTCAAGATGTTAAGCAAAAAACTGATGCAACATACATATCTCTCTTCTAAATGATGTTCTCATCATGATGCGAGTGATGCTTTACGCTTTTGTGAAAGACCAAGTTCTACCATGATAAGCACATATAAACATAGAGGGGAAGGAAGAATCAGGAACAGATCTTGCCTCAGTGCCTCCCTCGGCTTTCATAGCCTGTGACAATATCTTGAGGCCATCAGCAGTCGCTCGTGATCTAGCAAGGATAGCTTCAGCTTCTCCTGATAAATGAAAAAGATCAAAGGAGTCAGAGAGAAGATTTTAGAAACTTTAACACATTTTATGCTTCATATTCAAAACAGGAGTGATGTTTTTCGCAGCTCCCAAGACATGTTAGATTATCAAGGTCCCATGAGAGGACACTAGTGGTGATAGACCAAACTGCTTATAAGGTTACCTTTCTTCAGTTGCTCAAGTGATACTTCATTTAATAGTCAGACTAAAACAATATATGAACTTAATATGAAATGGAGGCTTCAATCATGGTGATCTATTACTGATTAGTAAGGCTGGCCAAACTAACAGTAGCAACCATTAGCGGAGATAGACTAGTGCCTAGGTAGCGCCAGTCCAGTACAACAGGTGTTAGAAGTGGGTACACCATAAACGGAATCATGTACGAGCCCCAATAGATGAGTTTGGCTGATTACTATGAAAGCTCAAAATGGACTAAAATCAAGAATTAGGGAACTATGAGCAAGGTGTCAGCAGGTGTCAACTATGAAGGATACTCCGATCAGAGACATGAAGGGCTATTGCTTACCTAGTAGGTTATTAATTATACATCAAACCCTGGCTGGATATCTACCTTGTCTCATTTCGGGTAAAAAAGACCACTGATCTTTTCCATTTCTTTTTCTTCTTCACCTGCAGTTGATAGTTATAGAAATGCATTTGTATACTAAAGGAATTCGTGCACTTATGTGGCTGATCTCATTTAAGAGCAGTAAGGATTAGTCTGTGGTATAGCGCTTTTAGCAAACCTTTTTTTTTTTCTAATATCAAAACATCTTTGTCCTCTCTCCTTTTTTGTATACTTTATGTTTGCTTCACATTTTCCCCATATCAAAATGTTCACTTGCAGAAGGTGTTTTTGTGAGAAGAAGTTCCTTTCAACAGATTCTGATATTTCATCTGATATGAGAGACAAACATCATTAGTTGTCCAAGTTGCCAGGAATAATTCCTGTGTACTTGTACGAAAGTAATGAATTACAATGATTCAAAGGAAGCCAACTCAAGTAGACCATCGAGAGTCGGGACGAGATCTCTTGTTGGGTTTATCAAAGGGCCCTAGATAGACAACCTTTTCCCAAGCTCGAGGGTAGAATTTGTATTATTTCAACTTCCAAGCCATCCTACAGTAAGACTAATTTTAGCTCAACCATTCCAGCTTAACATAACAGCATCTCAGGAAATAAATAAATGACAATAGTCTTTCAAACTTTATCTCAAGCATAATGAGCAGACAAAAAGGTTTTGCTATTATAATAAATGAAAAGAAGTTATATCTTCTTTTCTATACCAGCAAAGAATCCATATAGACAATTCAGTTCAAAAAAGAGCAAAGTTAGAAAGAAAAAAAAATGATATGATACCTTTAGCCCTATTAACCTGGTCCATCATTGCAGCTTCTGATGCCAATATCACAGAAGCTTTCGTACCATCAGCAATGTTGATTTTAGCTTGCCTTTCTCCTGTTGAAACAAGAAGTTATGCATTGATACTTTAATTAGAAATGAGAGGATGACAAGCAATATACATTTCCTATCAAATATATATTATTCAAACCAATTTATATCTTAACAAGCCTGCCAAAGCTCCACAGTTATTTTTACAAAGGCATCGTAGGAAACCCTTTTGCAATGAAAGAAAACTTGGTACAGAAGAAAGTGATAATCAGAAAAAAGAGTTCTGCAAGAAATACCTTCAGACTCAAGAACTTGAGCACGTTTTCTTCTTTCTGCTTCAGCTTGCATCTCCATAGCTGCCTTTACTCCTGGTGGTGGAGATATATCCCCTACAGAAAAGAATGAGAAAATTAATTAAAAATAAGAAAACTTTAAAGTTAACAGGAAGTCATAATAGATTCAAGAACTTACGTATTTCATAACGCAGACATTTAAGACCCCAATCAGAAGCAGCCTCATTGATTGCTCTCTGTGGGACAATAATATACAAGAAAAATGAGGCCCAAAAAGAACTGCTTATAGCAATTTGGTGTTTTCAATCAATTCTTCACAATCTTCCTAAGCCTATGTAATGAATTTACTCTTACAATTCATCAGACAATGTGCATCACAAGAAGTAAATGCTTAAAAAATATATATGCATAAGATGCTAAAGATGAGAGAAAAATCCAGTCAATACAAAAGAAAAAACAAGGTGTCTGTAGATAATCAATAAACAATCAAATTGACTTAAAAGTGGTCATTTACAACTCCTACAGTTAAGATAAAAAATAGCCCAAGGTGTCAGTAAACAGATATCCAAGAGGTAAAAACTACCATGAATCAGAAGTTTTCACTTGCATTGGATCCTGTCTGATGTCATCAAAAGTTTTCTCTTCTCCCCTAATTATTATTTTCACATTTAACATCTCATTAAAAGTAAGAATGATGTGATTATACTGTTACTTTGATACCACAGTCGTCAGACCTTTTTGTTTTCTTACCTACATTACAGATTACTAATAAAATGGTCTCACAAGCAGAGATAATTTTTGAATTAGCAGATAACAAGCAAAATTTGAGTTGTTCCTTTTTAACAACAATGAAATGATGAAAACTGAAATTTATATAATATACAAAAATCATAAACATGCTAATGCACTGTAGATCCAATCATTAAGGAATCTTGTAAGAAGTCATCTTTAGGTAGCAACCACAATAGGAGCACAAGAACTATAAAAATATTCAATTACACAAATGCGGCAGAAAATAATCCAAGTTATTCTAATTATCAGCTTATAGTGACAGGTTTAAACTGTCATGGTTGCCAAATTTTGGAGGCTCAAAGTAGTTATTATGGTGTTTTTGCATTGTAATTATTTTGCATAGGTGACTCAATCTAAACAATACTGATCTTCACTTATCATTTTCAGACAGATTAATGTAGCAGCACAACTGTAAATCAGATTAGCAACTGACACAACAGAATTGTACAAATGGTCAATCGACAAGAACCACACATTCATCTTTTAGTTTTTTTGTGCATCAAGAATCGCCAACTAGCTAAGTCACTTGATCTAACTTCCACAACATCAAGAAATGTTATAACAATAAGAACAAGAACACAGATAACAACGATGAGATCTGACTACTTTCAGTAATATTCATTTATTACGTTATTTAGGTTCATTAAAGTTGACATTCTCCTACATAAGGTCATCATTCCCATGCTGCTAACCAAGTTTTCATTAGTGTTACCTCCCTCAAGGTACCTCGTCTTTGCTTTCTTTTTTATATTTTTTTTAATTCAAATCTTCCAGAACTTTAACTCAAGTGGCAGAATGCCAATTCAGTCTCAACAACCAGAGAAAAGAGCCCAAAAAGGCCTTGTCTATATAAACAAATGAGTCAGCTAAATCAAAATGAATAAAGGTACATGACATGTTGGATATGTTTCAATTCATATTGAGTAAAAATTCATACTATGACCAAACTAGCCCAACCAACAATTGCTCTATACCAAAGGAAGCATAAGATAAATGGATCATTTATTTCTGGGCCAATGTCACAGATCTTCATATGTTCATAACTGCTCCTTACATTTGCACACATCCAAGGCATCTTCAATGGTTTTTACACTTAATCATTAGGTCAAATAAGATTTCTCCATTACAACCATGGCAACATGAGTCCAAATCACAAAGATACTCTGATCAGATGTAAGATTAAAAACATGTCCAACATAAGCTGCAAGACTCCACCTTCTCCACACCCATGACTGCTGTTTAAAGAAATATCTTATGAAATAATAGTCATTGGCATCAATCACTTGAACTCAAGCAGCAGGCTTCTTAACATGTGAAAACTGACAATATACAATCATGCTGTGAGATGTGCCAAGTACTTTTGCTAAACTGCTTATAAAATACGAACATTGTTATTTTAAAAAATCACTCTTATAATTGTGTCTTACGTGTATAATTTTTCTGGCTCTCATTATTTCAGCAGTGCAACCCTAATGAGGAATTCCAGCCAACATAACAGTTATGGCCAAATGGTGTTTACTTGAATGTTTAGAATCGAATATCATAGATCCTAATTTGTAGGGATTGTTCTATTCTACTATTCTAACAGTTTTTCTTTAGGAGGATAACCATAACTAGAAATTCATT